GGTTTTTTTTTTTTTTTTTTTTTTTTTTTTGCTATAGGATAGGTGCACTTGCCAGACAGAGAGAGAGAGACAAAGAGACAGAAAGTGAGAAATCACCCCCCCCCAAGGGGGGATGGCCACGCTGCAATCCCTTCTCCTCCTTTCTCCTTTTGGAATCTTGGGCATGCACACACACGCGCGCCCGACGTGAGTTTAAGCCACCGGGTCCAGGACTCGAACTGTGGTCAACTACATGGGAGTCCAGTGACACAGCCATTATGCTAACTGCTGATCCCTGCAATGTCTTCTAAAACACCATTCCTTTTCTTTTGCTCATTAGGTGCCCATTCCCTGTAGCACTGCAGCAATGCGCTGCTCCAGAAAAGCTAGATCCCACATGCTGACCCCAGTTCAGTTCCCCCACTGGGTCAACCTGAAACATGCCAGGTATGCATGTAAGTGCCCAAAAACCTGACAGGTTGGAGGAAGGGATCATGGTATAACCAGATCCTCAGGAGGGTGCTGCACTCTCTCCCTCACGTGCGTGCACAAGCCCTCTATCACAAAGAAAGAAAAAAAGTGTCAATGTATATCGTGGCTGGCCCTGTTGCCTAGTGGTCAACGGAGGCAGATCTCACATGGGCAGTTACAGGCCAAATGCTGGCCCTGGTGGAATGAAAAATACACCAGGGGAGGGGCCCAGCAGGTGGCGTGGTGGTTAAGGGCACTGGCCTCCCACGTGGCCGACTGCGGATTGAGTCCCAGACCTGGTGGCTTGATTTCTCACTTTCCCTCTCTCTCTCTTAATCACTCTCATTCTGTCCTTTTCTGGTCAAATTAAAGTAAATAAATAAAGTTGAAACGGACTAATGCTTTACAAGAAAAAAAAAAAAAAAAAAAAACGCTAGGCACATCTGCACGTGTGCCCCAAATCCCAGCAGGATGAAGAAACAGAGGGGAGGGAACCAGCAGTTAGCGTAATGGCTATGTCGCTGGACTCCCACGTAGTCGACCGCGGTTCGTGTCCCGGACCCGGTGGCTTAAAAACTCACACCAGGCGCGTGTGCGTGCATGCCCAAGATCCCGAGAGGAGAATGGAGGAGAAGGGATTGCGGCGTGACCATCCCCCCTGGGGGGTGATTTCTCGCTTTCTGTCTCTATGTCTCTCTCTGTCTGGCGAGCGCACGCACCCTACAGTGAAAATCTCTCAAAAAAAAAAAAAAAAAAAACGGAGGGGAAGGGTTGAAAAAGGTGGTATATTTAATTTTTCTAAAATGGTGTGACCAGACCCCATGGGAGGGTGTTTTCTCCCTCTCTCTCCCTGGCAAACACAAACCTTCTGGCAATAGAAATAAAAAATATATAAAAACATATGTTTCTATGTATAAATATATATATAACACACGGATGGTTAAACCTCTTGTTTACTCTCAGTCTTCCCACTCGAAGCCCCTCGAGGGCAGGGGCCTCCTGTGTCCTGTTACACTCCTGCTGCGTCCCCGGTGCCAGGAACGGTGCCTGGCACATAGCGCCTGTTCATTCTGTGTTTGGAACCTGAGTGGAGGAGCTAAGACACACCTGAGTGAAAAGGAGAACAGTTGAAAGATGAGAAAAGAAGTACAGGGTGGACCTTGGCTTGACCTTGGGGATGAGGGGCCCTTTCCATCTGTGACGCCACCAATCAAATTAGTGCTTAAGAGCACGGGCTCTGGAGCCCGCCCAGGAGCACAGCTGCTGGGCTCTGTAAAGAGGAAGCTGGATCCCACATGGTCAACTGGGACTCAACTTCCGGCCCCAGCAGCTTGAATGACACCAGGTTTGTGCAGACACTCAGAAGCCTGGTGGCCTGGAGAACTGAAGGAAAAAGGATTATGACATGGCCCACTAGGACTTTTTTTCTCTCTCTCTTTTGCATGTACCCTCTGGTATTAAAAAAAGAAAAGGTCTGGGACCAGCAGATGGCGTAATGGCTATATCGCTAGACTCCCAGGTAGCTGACCGTAGTTCAAGTCCCCGACCCAGTGGCTTCAACTCAAGCCGGGCGCATGTGCGTGCGTGCCCAAGATTCTGAGAGGAGGATGGAGAAGGGATTGCGGCGTGGCCATCCCCCCTGGGGGGTGATTTCTTACCTTCTGTCTCTCTGTCGAGTGCATGCACCCTATAGCAAAAGCCTCTCAAAAAAAAAAAAGAAAAAGAAAAAGAAAAGGGAAAAGGTCCAGCCTGCATCCTGGTGATTGAGAGAGCTGGATCCTATATGGCTGATTATGTGGTTCAAGTCCTGAAACCAGCAGCTTAAGAAACATGTGAGGCAGGGACCAGCAGTTAGAGTAATGGCTATGTCGCTGGACTCCCACATAGTCGACCGCAGTTCACGCTCCGGACCCGGTGGCTTGAAAAACTCATGCCGGGTGCGTGTGCGTGCGTGTCCAAGATCCCAAGAGGAGAATGGAGAGGGGATTGCAGCGTGGCCATCCCCCTGGGGGGTGATTTCTTACCTTCTGTCTCTCTGTCGAGTGCATGCACCCTATAGCAAAAGCCTCTCAAAAAAAAAAAAGAAAGAAACATGTGAGGCACATATGCGTGCATGCCCCGAATCCTGAAAGGAGAG